CTTGGACTCTATGATTAAAAGTAAAATTTGTATATTTGCTTTAAAATAGTCAACAAATACAAGTAAATACAACAATGGCAATACTTCTACAATTACCATAGTTTACATATGTAATGAAAAGCAAGCAGGATGCATCAGATAGAGTTTAAAATTTTGCCCTTATTCGCCTCACATTAACACTTTACCTTTTAAAATTTGCTTGGGTTGAAGCACTTCCCCACTTTTTGAACAGCCACTACACAGCACTTGTGCACCAAACCCTTCTTGATCCTCAGCACTGGATGTTGAACAAGGTGGTATAGCATGGCAGGGCTTTTTGCATACTTTGCAAAAACGACTTCCACATTCCTTCTTACAGGAATCACAAACTATGATTAGAACAACCGACCCCTTTCAGCAATTGAGTATGCTTTCAACATAAGTTCCTTATCTAGTTTATCAGCATTCAGCCTTATCTTGTTCAACTTCAACTGTCTGGATCCCTGCCATCTTTATATTTACGGTGAAACTAAAACACAAGACAAAATGTAGTAAACATAGCATGCAACCAAAAAAGGCTACCACTACTTTGCCAACTTTGGCATGTTTTATAATTTTATTATTATTATTAGTGAATTTAGCCTTTCATGCTTTGCCCTTGTATGTTTTGATATATATAAAAAAGCAAATTTTAAATCCCTGTTTTCGTGTTTTTGATAATTTTAGTCATGTTCTTTTTACTATTTTTAGCAGCACACACAGTTAAATTTTGAATTTTGGCAGGTTTCCTCCAAAGGAATTTTTTTCTTGAGTGCAGTGAAATAAATGAATGAGGATGCAATTAGGCTGTCAAAGGCATGCAATTGAATTGTATTTTATGTTTAAATCAATCAATATTTTATAACATTGAAGTGATTGAACTAAAAAAGATGTACACTAAAAATACATAAGCATAAGAGTTAAGAAGACAGTACACAGTATCTGTTGTCTGTGAAATCTGAGCCTCTTAGCATCTTGACTGAACACTTGCAGCTTGCTTCCCAGTTGCTCTCATAATAATTGTCTATCACTCTTTTGTATAATTCGTATTTAATATTTATATAAATTTATAACAGTAAAAGACTTTATAAAGCTATTATTTTGACAAACGCTAAAGCGTCCAAGCCCAAGGCGGTTTATCATTTGTGAGCTGTGAGCATATTAGATATTATTAAAGCCAAAACACACCGATGCGATTTGACAATGAGGCTATGAAAGGAAGTTTCAATAAATATGTAGTCCAAATAATTCAAAATGTAATTTATTATGCTTTTGAAAAAGCTAAACAAGAAATCAATCATAACAGTTTTCGAACAATGAAAATGAAAAAACATGCCACAGCGGCCACGCTGGCGCCGTAAAGCGGCGCTGTTTAATCTGACATGTCCAGTGTGTCTTGGCCTTAAAAAATTTCCATAAGCGCACTAAATATATTAATATAATAATATAAGAACAAAACATAGTGTTACACACTCACCTCGACAAATTGAAGGGCTGTGCTCACAAGATAAAGATGAATTCCACAGGAAAAGTACTCCAGGAGCGTGAAAGTTGAAATATCAATAAACGACAGTGTATGCCTTGAAAACTCAGAGAAAAAGAGCATGATACAACAGCGTAAAAAATATCATTGGCTAATTGGCATATTCCTATTGGCTAAGCCAAACAAATCGAAAGTAAGCTGTAACATAAGACCTTGCGCCGCAGCCTGTAGGGGCTGCCAGCGCATTGGAATTTGAAAGCTCGTTTATGAAATTAGTTTTTCGCAAGTGTCACGCAACACACGCGCACACATGTATACTTTTCCACGTGCTATTGCATAATTTTTTTTGCGTCATGAAAATGCACGTGTTTGTGTGGTGGATAGCTAAATTTTCAAAAATTGCATCTAGATCTAGGTTGTGCAATACAAACTTTCCAGTCTGGCAGCAGTGCACTTAAGTTAGCCGACTAACACCATACAATCTGAGTTGAAGCAAAAATGTCATTGCACACCTTAAATTGTCTTTATGCACAACTTCTTGTATATCCTAATACAAAGGCCTTTTATTTATAAATCAATACCAATTAAATTTTACCTGAAACAAAGCAGTCTCAAAGCAACGAATAGCGTTTTTTTCACAGCAACCCCAATTCCTCTTGAGCCATGCCTTGGCAGCTCAGAAAGCTTCCTGAATAGGATTCATATCGGGTGAATATGTTCTGTCAAGATGCAGAAATAATAAAGAATAAGGTCAATCAGGAATACTGTAGCATACAAGGTAGTAATAGTAAAGGAGTGAATCTTGTGCTTTCATGAGTTAAATATTATACTTAGGCAAAAGCATAACGATTCCTCCTTTTTCCCTTATTTGGTTGAACATGTATGAGCAGCCTCAATGCAGTAATACATAAGGCTGCTTCCACACTGAATCTGGTACCACAAGTAAAATTATCCCTTTTTGTACAATGTGTACCTTGTAAATTGTGACCGTATTTTCTCTACATTGAACAAATTTAAATATGGAATAATTACAATAATACTTTAAAAATGAGTATGTATACAGTTACAGCATGCCACATTTGAAAACGGAAAGGTAATTGGGGTTTGGGCTGTGTGCATAGTTTAGTACATAGTGACTAATTAAGGTACGTACATACTCCAAGGGTACCTTAATTAGCATAGATTAACCTACAATAAGTCAGCCTAATGTATGTAGGCTATGCAGCCTACTTAATGAGCTACGTACAGTATCCTAGCTAGGTAAAGACCAAGGTTATTCAAAAAATTTTTTACTTTTATTACTCTTTTATATATATATATATATATATATATATATATATACATACATACGTACATACATACATACATACATGCATATGCATATGCACATACATACATACATACATACATACATACATGCATACATACATACATACATGCATACATGATACATGCATCCACGCAAACACGCATACACGCACGCACACACACTCTTTTTTTTTATTGAATCCAATAGAATATGATATAGCACATTCTAAATCCTATAGAATATTCTATAGGACTTTTTATTATTTTATGCTATAGAGAATTCTATTGCTATATTCTATAGAATTTACAAATCCTATAGAATATTAAATCTTAAAGTTAAAATTCTCAGCAAAAATCGCTCGTTTTGGAAGGACAAATCACACATATTTCACTGTTAACTGTTTTCATAATATACCTGTTCGCGGGTAAGGTCGCGGGTGTTTTGCCCAAACAAGACCGCAAGGTTATGTGGGACTTGTCTAACCGGCACGTGTTATTTTCAAATTTTGAGCGCATCTTTGTCATACGTTCAAGGTTTTATAGTAGAATTTAGTGAGTTTTTCTTTCGTATTTTAACATAAAATACGCGTTATTTGAATTTGTCAATAAGTAGTCATGCGAAATTGGTGAAACAGGCTATATTAATACGCGAGGAGATACGGATTATTTGTGTGAATAGTGACTGTGATTGCGAGGAAGAAGTAAAATGTTGTCATGGCCATGTGGAATTCTAAAGTTAATAAGAAAACAATCAAAGGTTCCATTCGACCATCTACAATTTCAACAACAACATGTGTAGAGCTAAAGTATTATAATTCAGTGGTGAGTGTGTTTGTATATAGTATATGTTTATATTTAAAATATTGACTATTTTTTCAGTTCAGACTTTGTATGGCTGCTGGACACTTTTTCAAAACTTTGTCCAGCTGTCACTTGCCTACTAGTATTAATTAATATAAAATGCCCTCTATGTATAACCATGCACTGAGTCATTTAAAAGATTACTTTATTCACTCCATCAAGGCTTCAAGATCACCTTTAAGTGCAAGATTCTTATTACTGGTGCTGAATATGAAATGGCAAGTATTATTGTATTTATATGCTATCAAAAATCAACAACTGCAAATCCTACTTCTGGCGAATCATATAGATAATATAATATACCTTTTATTTATATCATAAATAGGGCCATTACAACTAAAATTTATTTCTGTCAATGCTTTTGCAGTACATTTATAAATTCTAAAGCTATATCATGGCATCATGCTAAGAGTGAATAAGGTGTCTGTAGTCCCACTGGTAGAAGGGACCGGGAGCTCTTACAAACAGTTAGGCAAAACCCAGCGAGATAACATTCGGGATTGTTTGGTGCGCAGATATTTAGAACTCAACAGAATTAGACGCAGCTGAACACAGACAGTTTGTAATATAAAATACTTTAATATAACCCAGAGTGTTCCCGAATAAGTTGAATCGAAACCAAAAGTAAGCAGGTTCAAACTATATAACACAATACATAATGACATACTTTAACTACCACAACCCTGTTCGCGTGACTATGTCATGCAACACGCGATCATTAGAAAATATAATCATAAAGACATAAGAACAACATAATCATAAAGAAATAAGAAATTACTATTGTAGGCCACGCTCTAATACGTAGTGCGCATCGTCTAGCTATATACCAATAGATAAATTAACTACAACTGCTGTTCGTGTACAAAAGGAAATGTTAACGTGTACTCACTTTGGTTTACACGCGCACCGTAATGTTGAAACTCCAAACCACCGCGAGTACGTAGATTGGGTAGCACGACTTTAGACGATTTAAAGAACGTTCGCGACGAAGAAATTTAACTTTCGATAAAGTAGACTGACGTTGAATTGACCCTCTTTTCGGTCACGCAACTAACAACTGACTGCCTAAAGCATGCACCCATAAACGTAGTCGCAACTAGATTGACATGCCCTGATTGACAGTTACAATAAAAATAACTTCTAATTACGTTGATTGATGGTGCCTGTCACCATGCTTACATTTTAAAACTAACATTCCGGCCCCTAAAGGCGGAACCAAGAGTAGCCTTTACTACATAGCAATAAAGTTTTGAAACGAACTAAGATATTCAAACAAACAAATGTAAATTAAGGTTCTGCAGCTAGGCGATAATATTGTTTATGCACTCGTCTACTTATCGTTTTTGGCGATGTCCGCTTCCTCCAGGAGTACAATCTTTGTGACTGGTCTTGTCAGCTCGGATGTCTTGGTCTTCAACCTTACAGAGCGTACGAGCCCATCGTTTCGGTTAGGGTAAACTTCCAAAACTCTTCCCATGGGCCAGGAATTTCGAGGGGTTTTGTCGTCCAGAACCAGCACGATGTCGTTCTTCTTAAAGTTTCTTTCCTCTTTATTCCATTTCTGTCGTTTTTGCAAAGATGGGAGATATTCCTTCGTCCAACGACGCCAGAACACGTCCGCTAGATATTGGATTTGGCGCCATCGCCGACCATAGATGTCTTGGTTGGAGAGAGTCGCGGGTGGAAGGGTGGGTCCACCTCTCAGAAGCAACAGGTGGTTCGGGGTCAGGGGCTCCATATCTTGTGGGTCGTCGGAGAGCTTGGTGATAGGTCGTCCATTCACGATTGCCTCGACTTCGCACATTAAGGTGTTAATGCCTTCGTCGTCTAAGACCTGTTCTTTGATGATCCCCTGGATCACCTTTCGCGTAGTTCGAATGCACCGCTCCCATACGCCACCATGATGGGAACCTGTCGGCGGATTGAATAACCACTTGATATTTCTCTGCAGGAGGAAGTCGTGGATTTGTGACTGATTCCATTCCTTCACAGCTTCACGTAGCTCCTTTTCCCCTTTGACAAAGTTTCCGCCGTTATCGGAACGAATAACCTCAGGCTGACCTCGTCTTGCGATAAACCGACGCAGGGCGTTTATAAATGACCCTGTTTCCAGGGAACTCGCAACTTCGATATGGATCGCACGGATACTCAAGCACGTGAAGAGCACCCCGTAGCGTTTCACTGTAGTACGGCCACATCTCACTTCAAACGGCCCAAAGCAGTCGATTCCAGTACATGTAAACGGCGGCTTCGATGGCGTCGTCCGATCTTCGGGAAGATCAGCCATTTTCTGTCGAGAGGTTGGTGCTTGTCGTTTCTTACAACTGACGCATTGATTAAGGATCGTTTTTACGGTTCGCCTCCCGTTGATGATCCAGTATCTTTGTCGTATCAGCGACAAGGTGTACTCTAAACCAGAGTGCCCAGACAGGTGATGGTGGTGCTTCACTATAAGTGCAATGACGTGGTGGTGCTTGGGCAGAATGACGGGATGTTTTGCATCATGATTGATCGGTGCTCGCCTCAGGCGGCCGCCAACGCGGAGAAGACCTTTGCTGAGGACCGGATCGACGTTGAAAATGATCGTTGACCGTTTTACTGCTTTCGCACGTCCCGGGTGACTTTGCTGCTGCTGCTCTTTTTCTAATAGTTCGTGTTCCTCTTTGAAGGATTCGCCCTGTATATGTTTCAGGATTACGTCTTCTGCGTTTTTGATCTCTTGGACATCAATAGGAACGATTTTATTACTGAACTCGATCGCGAAAGATTCTCCAGTCTTTCGTCTCTTGCTTACACGTAGAAACTTCGCTTTGTACCTTAACAACCACGCCATGATCCTCCTCAGGCGATCCCATGATGAATAGCGGTCGATTATTCTCGCTACCGGATTACTCGCGTCAGAACAATAGCTCGCGCACACGATACGCCCTTTGATCTCGGGATCGGCGTCGTCGACGGGCATGGCCATTTCGGCTGGTCGTTTCGGCCAAAATTCGTTCGACTTCCTCAGAAACTCTGGTCCTTCAATCCAACGATGGAGAGACTCGACTGGCACTCCTCTTGAAGCATCGTCGGCTGGGTTCAGCTCGGTATTAATATAACTCCATTGAGCGGGAGATGATGCATTGTGAATAGCTGCGACCCGGTTTGCCACAAAGGTTTGAAATCTTTTGTCTTGGTTTTCGATATACCGCAATACGCAGGTACTATCCGTCCAGAAGAACGATTCATCGATGGGAAAACTAAGTTCTTGGCGCGTTATCAGGTCCAGCTTGGTTGCTACGACTGCTGCCGACAATTCCATACGGGGAATAGTAACTGGCTTGATTGGTGCAAGTCTTGATTTTCCCATCACAAACGAACTTTTAACCTGTCCATCCTTGTCCTTGACTTTAAGGTATGTAACGGCTCCATACCCATGCTGTGAAGCGTCCGCAAAATGGTGAAGTTGGGTGTCACTGATTTCGCCTAATTCAGCAGGCTTGAAACAGCGATCGACAGCAAGTTGTTCCAGCTTAGGTAAATCTTCTAACCAGGCTTGCCATCGTTTCATGTATACATCCGAGATTTTGTCGTCCAAACCCAATTTCTCTCAACATAAATCTTGAAGAATGAGTTTGGCTTGCAGGATAAACGGGGCAGCGAACCCCAAAGGATCGTAAACTGAACTAACGATCGACAAGATACCTCTTCTCGTGGCAGGCCGGTCTTTGATGACGATCTTAAAACCAAATTTGTCCGATGTTATATTCCATTGGACACTGAGCGCTCTTTCCATGGACCAGCAATCGAAGTCGAGATTTTTTACTACTGAAGCTCGTTCTGATTCAGGTAAGGATTCGACCACCTTTCTTGAATTGGAGAGCCATTTTGTGAGCTTGAATCCACCTCGCGCAAGCAACTCGCGTAGCTTTTTTGCAAGATCAACTGCCTCTTCTTCTTCCCTGACTGACTTCAGGCAATCGTCAACGTAAAAGTTCTTTTCTACCGTTTCGATTACCTTAGCGTTGAAACTTGTCTCGTTATCTTTCGCAGTTTTCTTGAGCGCAAAGTTGGCGCAGCTCGGAGATGATGCGCCGCCAAAAAGATGGACTCTCATTTCATATTCCTCCACCTCTTTAGAAAGGTCGCCATCAGGCCACCACAGAAACCTCAAAGCATCACAATCTGACGAAGGGACGCGCACCTGGTAAAACATAGCCTCGACATCTGCGATCATTGCAACGGGTTCCTCTCTGAACCTAGTCAGCCTTGTCAGGCTTCTGTGGGTGAAACACTGGATGGTGGGGCAGATACCATTGGGTTTCCAGAGGTCCGGTTTCTTGACTAGACACCTTTCTGGCGTAATCTTTAGAAAACAGGTCGTCCATGAACCTTTTATACTTCTCGAGCAAGGATTGATCGTGCTGAAGTCGTTTCTTCAGCGAGCGAAGGCGTTGTTCTGCTTGCGATCGGTTGTTTGAAAGTGGTGGTGGGTATGTTTTCCATGGCAATCCAATTTCGTAGTGGCCGTTCACCAGTTTAGCTGATTGTTCCATGAGCTTCAGTGCTCTCTTGTCGTTCTGAGACATGGTTGGTTTCATTTCGTGGGTAACATCATTAAATTCCATGTTACAATACTCTTCAAACCGTTGATTGAGATCTTGATCTGCTTAGATGCCATTCACCATAGGGGGGCTGCTACCTTCTCGCCCTAGCGGTCCGTTTAGAACCCAACCTAGCAAGGTTCTTGTGGCAAAGGGTCCACCGTTCTCACTTGTTCGTACTTCGAGAGGTTGCAGTATCTCTGGAACGTCACTGCCAATCAGAAGACCAATCTCAGCATCAATATGCGGTAAAGAGATACCCTGTAGGTGTGACCAGCGCTCTACGTCCTCTTGTTTCCCGATACATTCCGAGCGGACAGGTAGGCTCGGCGTTGAATAAACCTTCGGCAACCTGACATGATGTTGATTTTTCAGGTCGAAGACTTCCAGCTCGACCATGGAACATGCGATTGGAGTGCCTTTTCCCAGCATCGTTGTCAATGTGAGATTGGTTCTCTTCCCCTTGCGCCTTAGTTGCCATAAAAGATTCTCTGTGCAGAACGAGGTATTCGACCCAGAGTCTAAGAATGCATAGGTTTCGACTTCCACAGATCCTTCCTTCGCCTTCACCTTTACCGGAACGATAGCGAGTCCCGTCACCGATGGACCTTTTGATTGGTTAGAGGGGGGTTGGCACCTTACATAACCGTTGACGTTGCCTGCTTGAGTTGATGGATCCTTACATTCTTCGTCCTTCGTTTGCTCATCTTGAGGGTTTGTTCTCTTATAGTCCTCTTTATCGGTTTGGGCAGACTTTGGGTGTAGAAAGGTAGAGTGTTTCCCTGTACAGCCATCGACCTTGCAGAAACTTTGCTTAGCACATGAACGAACGAAGTGACCACTGGTTAGACAATTCAAGCAAAGTCCCTTGTCTTTCACGTACTTCTTCCTTTCTTCTAGCGACAGTTTCCGGAATTTATCGCAACGCGACAACCAATGGTTTGCGTTACACGGACACACATTCTTGCTCATGTTTTGTTCCTTTCCTTGTGTCCCAAATCCACTCGCTCTGGCTCCGTATTGTCGCTTCCCTTTGTGTTCTTCTAGTTTTCCTTTAGGGTCGCTCGTAATTTTTCCAAATATCGGGTGGGTAGCCGCTCTAGCCTTGGCGGTCACGAATTCCGTCACATCTTCAATCGTCACGTCTCTTCCATCCTTCTCTACAATTCGATCAACCGTATCACGCCATTTTAATCTTATGCCAAACGGAAGCCGATTGATGATTCTTTTCAGATTCTCGGGATGATTCAACTTTTCAAGCGAACCGATTTCTTTTAGTGTATTCGTGCAGCTGGTAAGTTGAATAGAAAATTGCATTAGTGCGTTACCGTCTTCGGACTTGATTGCAGGTCCCTCTGTTAGGGTTTCGATGTGCGCTGCGGCAACTCTATACTTCTGTCCGTATCTTTCCTTTAGTAACCTTCTTGCTTCAACGTAACCTCGCTCAGGATTCAACGACAGGCAACTTCTCATGAGGTCTTGCACAGGTCCTGATGTATACTGGATAAGATAGTACAAACGGGCGCTGGAACTTGGTGTTTTCTCCTCAACTAGATGCTCGAAGCTTCGAACAAAATCGCAATATTCAATGTGATCTCCTTTGAACGGCTTTATCGTGGGCTGAGGTAACGTGAGTGCCATGACGCTTTGTTGTTGCTGTTGTACTATCTGCTGAAGGGCGACGTTTTGACAATCCTGGGTTTCCATCAGGTGTTGTAGTGGGTTGGCGAGAGGGTAGTTGCCAGGTTGAGAAGCCTCAGGTGCGTGGTCTGGAAACCAAGCAGGTGAAGTTGGATTCAGTGGATGACTTTCTCGCGTAACCTCCGTTGGCTGTGTTGGCCGCACCTTGGGCCGCTGCTGCAGAACTGGATTTGCATGTTGGCTACCGTTAGTCGAATTTCTTGTTTTGGGAAGGGCAGAATCAGTTATGATCCCTTCTTTGCTCGAAAGGGTCTCTTCTACTTCGAATCGTTCGAAAGTTGTTTTTTCCGCCGCGGCTGCAGATATTTCTCCTTGAAGTTCCACTTGACTTCTTTTTTGTTTAATTTTTAACTCTTCGAGTTCCAGCTCGTGCAATTTCTGTAGCGAGATTGCTCTTGCTTCCAACGCTGCTTGCCTTGCTGCCGCCTTTGCTTTATAGCTAGTTGTACTCCTCATAGAGCTGGATTTTGATCGGGAAGATTTATGTGATCCGACAGTGCTAACTGAATCTTCCGGTTGGATTTGATTTTGATCACCATGAGAAGGCCCGGTTGGCTGCTGAAGCCACGATTGAATTTTGATTTTAAGTTCTGAAACTAGTTCGTTGACCGAACTGAAATACACGGTAGAATCCTTTATCAATTGCTCTTCCTCAAGTAAACTGTGATAGGCTTCGTGCGCACTTTGGAATTGTTTCGAGACGTCATCTAGTTCATTAGCAACTTCTCTAACATTGTCTACATTATCACACGTTGACAGCAATTCGTTAAGCTTATTAGCCTTTCTCGTTACGTTCCCCTTTGCTGTGCTTCGTGCCCTTTTTAATTGATCCATATGTTCTAAATCCATTAGGCGTTTAATTGATTCAGTACGTTTTGTAGGTTATGACAGACGGGAAGGTCAACAGGAAACTCTTCGCATTACTGGACCGTGCCCCAAGCACGAACCGAGAGAACAAATTCTTCAAATTTTTTTAATTCTTTAACCGTGTAACAAATTCGAACTTAAATGTAGTCCCACTGGTAGAACGGACCGGGAGCTCTTACAAACAGATAGGCAAAACCCAGCGAGATAACATTGGATTGATTGGTGCGCAGATATTTCGAACTCAACAGAATTAGACGCAGCTGAACACAGACAGTTTGTAATATAAAATACTTTAATATAACCCAGAGTGTTCCCAAATAAGTTGAATCGAAACCAAAAGTAAGCAGGTTCGAACTATATAACACAATACATAATGACATACTTTAACTACCACAACCCTGTTCGCGTGACTATGTCATGCAACACGCGATCATTAGAAAATATAATCATAAAGACATAAGAACAACATAATCATAAAGAAATAAGAAATTACTATTTTAGGCCACGCTCTAATACGTAGCGCGCATCGTCTAGCTATATACTAATAGATAAATTAACTACAACTGCTGTTCGTGTACAGAAGGAAATGTTAACGTGTACTCACTTTGGTTTACACGCGCACCGTAATGTTGAAACTCCAAACCACCGCGAGTACGTAGATTGGGTAGCACGACTTTAGACGATGTAAAGAACATTCGCGACGAAGAAATTTAACTTTCGATAAAGTAGACTGACCTTGAATTGACCCTCTTTTCGGTCACGCAACTAACAACTGACTGCCTAAAGCATGCACCCATAAACGTAGTCGCAACTAGATTGACATGCCCTGATTGACAGTTACAATAAAAATAACTTCTAATTACGTGGTGCCTGTGGTGCCTGTCACCATGCTTACGTTTTAAAACTAACAGTGTCAAATGTTTAATTTTCATATTAACCGTTAAAATTTACAGATTTTTTTATATCCAAACATCATATTAACCAAAGGAAATTATAAAAGCAAAATTAAATGTAAAAGATTTGGTTTAGGCAATTATGGGCATGTCAAGGATGCAAGAACAACTTTGCTGTCATTCCATCCCTGGAAACCCCAACTCAACCCAGAGAAAGTTAAGAGTATATGTGGTAAGTAGTAATTGTTAGTAACTATGTGTGGAAGTTAATATATCTTATATACATATCTTGGTTTAGCTATTGTTGACTTTTACTTTTTCTGTGTGTAGAGCATCATTTCGATGCACATGGTTAAGATGCCGAAACATGATTCAAAGAAGCCGTGAATGCTGGCTGCTCTGGAAAAGAACAAGAACAAAGATGTCCAACACATTATTGGTCTGTTAGAGGATTGTCACCCGAACATCACCCGAACAAGAAAAAGGTATCTACAGATATATATGTATATAATATACAACGTTGAAATACAGTATGCAAATCACATTTATTATGTTGCCTGCTGAATCTTGTAATCAAACTTATTTATTAGAAATGGAAAACCATTGCATTTTCACTGCCCCATTGCTTCAGTTGGGACAGAAAAAGACCTGGACAATTATTTTGGGAAATTGGCCCTGTAAATATTAAACTATAGGCCATAAAAACTTAAAATATGCTCAAGTGGCTTCTTGTCTAGTGTAGGGTCTTGCTCTTTTGTGTCCCAGGATTTTTCCCATATGTAAATGTTTTATTTCCAAGCTTAGGAATATTAAGTTTTATAATTTTTAAATTTTATTTTAGGATGACAGTGGTGTTGAAATTTCGACTATTGTCAAAAAAAGCACCTAGTAACTTGTATATATGTGTGCAAATAACCATTAGGATAAATTATTTATTATATTAGATCTTTTATAATATATATGTGTGTATTGACAAAATTTGATTTCAAGTGCTTTGAATTTCAGGATAATTTAACCAATCTTTAATTGGTTAAAATAATTGGTCAAAAAAACCATTGCACATTGGTTACATTAACCAAATTTAATACACGTTACATTAACCTATTAAATATTGGTAGATTCAACCAATATTGATATTGGTAATTTTAACCATAATGAATTTGGTAAAAAAATAACCAAATTTTTTATCCAAATTTTTTATACATACGTGCGTACATACACACATACATACACACATACATACACACATATACATATACATATACATATACATATACATATACATATACATATACATATACATATACATATACATATACATATACATACCAGGTGTCCCAGAAAAAAGTACTCCGGTTTGACTCATAATTGCTTCTAAATTAGGTAAGCTATTAAACTGAGATAACTTTCACTAGATAGAGGGAAGACAAACTTAGATTTTTATATTTTACGCTTGTATTTTATTTAAAAATTTATGGAGATATCAATGTTCAAAATTGGTAGCATATTTCTGGATGTGTCTAAATTATGCAAAAAACGCTGTATCAAATATTAATCAAGCTTTTCTCAACTGAAACATGCACTATTAGCCGTAAATAAATGACACTTGACAAATTGTTTATTAAGTATTATTAGTTACAGAAAATAAGGAAGATTTATTCGTTCGGAATGGCGTGTCCCCCAACATGAATGCACTGCCTAGCCCGTGAGACCATTGCGTTGAAGGAGTCATGAATCATTAATTTGTTGTTCTAGATTACGGCATGCTGTTACGATTGAGTTGCGAAGCTCTTCTAAGTTCTGCGGTTGCTGATTGTGTGGTACATTCCAAATTTGCTGCTTAAGGTATCCCCAAAGAAAAAAGTCGCATATTGCATTATTTACTGCTAATAGTGCATGTTTCAGTTGAGAAAAGCTTGATTAATATTTGATACGGCGTTTTTTGCATAATTTAGACACATCCAAAAATAAGCTACCAATTTTGAACATTGATATCTCCGTAAATTTTTAAGTAAAATACAACTGTAATATATCAAAATCTAAGATAGTCTTCGCTCTCTAGTGATTTTAGTTTAATAGCTTAGCTAGTTTGGAAGCTATTATGAATCAAACCGGAGGAATTCTTCCTGGGACACCCGGTATATATAAATATATATAAATATAAATATATATAAATATATATTATTATATATATATATATATATATATATATATATATATACACCCATTTGCAAAAACGTTTGCCGCAGATAGATAGATAGATACTCGAAGTCTAATTAGAATTGCATATGAATACATTTGGATGGGATTTCAATCATATTACACAACATATGCAATTCTAATTAAATTTCGGGTATCTATCTATATATCTATCTGCGGCCAACGTTTTTGCAAACGGGTGTATATATATATATATATAAAGTTTCGTTTTCAATTATGCAATGGCCAGCATACCCTCCGGATCTCAACCCAATTAAGAACTGGTGGAGCGTTCTCAAAACAGAGGTATATGCCGGTGAGAGACAGCACTCGTCAACAGAAGATCTGTGGAATGCAATTAAAACTACTGCTAGAGGTATTTCACCTGACGCAACAGGAAACTCACCGCTATTATGATCGAAGGCTACTTTTAGTCAAATCAAATCATGGATGATACATTAAACATTAATGAATAATATTAATCTTCTATTTTTGGTATATAATTATATAATTTATTATTTATCAAATGTTTTTGAGAATATATATTGATTAAAATTACCTAGAAAGACGGTATTGTTTCATTTTATAAATTTTTCCATTTCATCAATTCGCTAAATAGCAGTATAAGTGTAATATGCATATAAAAATGGACGCCCAAGATCCCTAAGTTTTTAAAAGTAGTAAATATGCATAATGAACATTCTTCTGTGCTGATCTTGCATATAAAGTAGCCAAATCTGCTATTTTTGTCACTCACCCAAAAAATTGTCATAATGCATAAATGAAGTCTTTTGGCATGGTGGCACAATGCTACTCTTAATAGTTAACATGCACCGAAGACCGTAAGCGACGTTATATTCAGTTATGCAAATGTACGAACGTAAAAGTTCTAATTGTGATTGGCTAGATGTATAATAATTGCAAATGAGACGATGTATGCATGTAGCATGTTGATGTTCGTTAAAAGTAAATAGTCAATTGCAATGTTTTCAAAATTCGTTATATTTTTGGTATTTTCCATAAATTTTGTAGCATAGGATTGTTGAAAAAGCATCCCATATACCTGCACCTGACACTGTTAATTTTTATATGATGGTCGCGAAACAAGCACAGCATTGTGAAATGTAAGAAAACAATTATAACTCGCATACAATGCCGGTGTAAATTTTCATGTCATAAGATAGATCAAGACTATTAGTCCTTTGGGACATGCTCTCTCAGCACAATAAATATGGAAATATAAAGCAGTCTTTTACAAACAAACATTTATTTAGTTGAAATTACCAAGCTGCGAGAATAGATGAACTTCTAGTATAGAACTAAAAGTTTTACTGCCTTCAATGAGAGGACGCAGGGTAATCCATGAAGTCGAGCGAATTTTAGAGTCTACATAATGTCAAATGAACTTGAATGTACATGCATAAGCTATATATAATGATCGATCAGTGTAAGGCCTGGATCACACTGGCTCCTAAGAATCGGGGATCCAATGTATTA